AGCTGCGCGCCCCAGCCTCCGCCGTTACCTGCGCCCGGAGGTGATTTGAAGGGCAGGGCGGGGAGGCCGGAACTGCGGGCCTGCGCTGCACCTGCAGAGCGCTCCAGGCTGCAAGGCTGCCCGCGGACCGGTCCCGGCTCCGGGGTGCGGGCCGCCGCACTGCCACGCCCCCGGCGGGAAGGCTCCTGGAGGGCAAGGCCAGGCACCCGGGTCCCACGGCCCTGGGAGCCAAGGGACTCGGAATCAGCCCTGACCCAGGCTGACCTGCCATCCCTGCAGTAACTGTTAGTGACCGGAGGAGTTCACGCTTCAGCAGTCGGACGGCGTTATGTCGTTCAGTGGGGCCCAGAATGATAATAGTTTCCATTTATGTGCTACTTTATGGATGCTGGCGTTTAATCTACCTTCATCACCCTGTATAGCCCTCATTATGGGTCCCGGAGGCCTAACTGTTCTCCATTTACAGGAAACTGGGGCGTAGGGAAAAAGTCCTGAGGTTCCAATAGAGTCGGAACTCAAAATTCATACCTTTTCACCTGTATGTCCTTTGCCCTGCACAACTCTGTTTCAGAATCAGGAACTTGTTACAGGTCACATCACTTCATCCACCATGCAGTAAACCGGTTCTTCAATTGTTCATAAAACATATTCTTACAGTTCTTGGAGTCAGAGATGTAAAACTGGCTCCGATTCGTGAGGGGCTGTAAATGTCAAGGTGCTTTTCCTAAGGTTGGGGAAGGTGTCACTGGTACTGTTCTCCCAACACCCTTTCCTCGTGTCTGGAGACAGCGGTGACTCCACCCCTCCTTCCTCTGGTTCTCTCTTCTGCCAGAGGAGCAGGTAGCATTTGAACCTTGTTAACAGCCCCGCTGGGATGAAGCGTTAGACAGCTGATGTTTTGTTTGGCTGGCCTGGAACTCAGTGGGCAGTCCTGCCTCTCTTGCCTCCCTAGTACCACCATGCCTAGCCTAGACACCTGACTTTTTTCTTTCTGTTCTCTCTCTAGGACCAGCTTTCTCCTCGGACTCTGCCGTTCCCACCCACCTGGCCCCACTCCACCCCACCCACTTCTCCATCTTTTCCTCTTCTCTGGTCTCTCACACCCCCACATCCTCCTCCCACCCACCCTCTTCCTCAGGCTCTCCCGCCACCTGTCTCTCAGGTCCAGGCTCTCAACTCTTTGTGGGTGGCTCTTCCTCTAGGAAAGCGGGAGGAGGGACCAGGACCTGAGCTGCACAATGGTTGTCTGGATGGGCTTAGGAGCCTTTTTGAGGGACCCCCTTGCCCCTATCCTGGGGCTTTGATACCTTTCCAAGCTCCTGGAGCTTCCCACCCCTCCCCTGCCACCCCATCAAGAGATCAGAGTATGGAGGAGCACCTGGCTGTCATGTATGAGAGACTGAGGCAGGAGGTAAGCAAGTGTAGTGGGGAAGACTATGGAGACAAGCTAGTCAACTGAATCTTGGCAGCATGAGGCAGGCCTAGAGCTGTGTGTGAAGTGTCTCCCTAGGGAATGGATGTCCCTCTGAATGAAGGACAGTTAAATTGGAGATGACCTTTCAGTTATGGGTGGGAGTGGAAGTTAGACGACCCTAAAAATAGGTAACTGAGAAAGAAGCCGAACCGGTGACAGGAGGTTGAGGGAAGAGGGTTCTGAGTTCAAGGCCAGGTTTGGCTACACACCTTGGCTCAGAAATAAAGTACATAGATCCCGAAATGGATCTTTCCTTCCCACTGAGCTGATGCCGTCTTCTTTACCCAGCTTCCTACCCTCTTCCTTCGCTCCCATGACTACACTCTGTATTCAATGGATGTGGAATTCATCAATGAGATCCTGAACATCCGTACCAAGTGAGAGGTGGGGAGGGAGGGAGAGGAGGACCCGGTGCTGAGCCTTGTCTCAGAGGTTCTAGGCTACCCCTGGCGACCATTCCCTGCTCCTTCAGCAGAAGCTGGCTTGGCTTTCTAGTCCTGCAGTCCTGATGTACCCTCCCTTTGACTCTCACAGGGGCCGGACATGGTACGTTATGTCCCTGACCCTCTGCCGCTTCCTGGCGTGGAACTATTTTGCACAGTTTCAGTTGGAGGTTCTGCAGCTGACCCGCCACCCTGAGAACTGGACCCTGCAAGCCCGCTGGCGTCTAGTAGGTCTGCCCATACATATGCTCTTCCTGCGTTTCTACAGGCGTGATAAAGAGGAGCTTTACCGGTAAGAGGGGCAGGAGCGACAGTGGCTTCCCTAATATTGCTGCTGTCTTGGAAGTTGGGGATCTTGTCTCCCAGCAGCCCTTGACTTATCCTGATTTGGCTGTAGATTTCCTGAGGGTAGAGATTTTATTTTATTGGTTTTCTGTTTTTGTTTTCTGAGACAAGGCTTCCCTATACAATCCTGGCTGTCCTGGAACTCACTCATGTGGACCAAGCTGGCCTTGAACTCAGATCTGCCTGCCTCTGCCTCCTAAGTGCTGGGATTAAAGGCGTATCCACCGCCCAGCTTAATTTATTTTTTTAAATTTTTAAAAAATTTATTTTTGTGTGTTTGTGTGCATGTGGTAGTACACATCATAGCATGTAAGTGAAGGTTCATAAGACAGTGTGTGAGAATCAGGTCTCTCCGGTAGGAGAGGCAGAGGCAATTGGATCTCTGAGTTTGAGGCCATCCTGGTCTACAAAGCAAGTTTCAGGACAGCCAGAGCTGTTACACAGAGAAGCTCTATCTCAAAAAACAAAACAAACAAAAAAGAAAAAAATAAATAAATCCCTGCCCAGCCATGGTAACAAACACTTTTAATCCCAGCACTAGGGAGGTAGAGACAAGTGGATCTCTGAGTTTGAGGCCAGCCTGGTCTCCAAGCGAGTTCCAGGACAAGCAGTCTTGAAAGAAAAAAAAAAATCCCCAAATTTCAGTTTCCTTCCTGTGCTACTTGGACCTGACAAGTGATAAGTACTTAGTTACTGAGCAAAATATTCCTGCTTCCTGGAGGACCAGGAATTAAAGGCCAAATGAATAAAAATACTGCATCCTAAATTTAGTTTTACCACCCTAGGTGAAGTACATGGTTAAGTTTCTGGCTGGTACATCCCCCCAAATTATTAAGCTTGGCCTCTACCATTTACTTCAGCATTTAAATGAATGAGTGAGATGTTTCAGGGGTGAGTAAAGGTGCTTGCCTCCAGGCCTGACAGCCGTAGTTCAATGCCTGGTAACCACACGGTGGGGGAGAGGACCAGCTGCCCAGTTGTCTTCTGCTGTGGCACATGCACTCACCACCCCCACACACTAAACAACTAGTGGGCCACCGAGTTGGCAGCACAGTAGAATGATCTCAGGTCTTCTGTAGAAGGCACTCTGATTTAACTGCTCTGAGTCCAACCTGAGCACTAGGAGTCTTGAGTTCCTAGGTGGCTGGGCACAGTGGGGTGTCTGGGATCCCTGGGATGCCTCACCTCCCTCATAAGCTGCTCCCCTCTCCAGGACCTTCGATGCCTATTCCACCTTCTACCTGAATTCCAGTGGCCTCATTTGTCGCCATCACCTGGACAAGGTGGGTGTTGGGACTGGGTGGGGTGGGGTGAAGGGTAGAACATGTCTGTTCCTCCCCTGCCTCCATTAACTTATTAACTTGTCTCTGCAGCTGACGCCTTCACACTCACCTCCAACGCCTGTGAAAAAGCTGCTAGTGGGAGCTCTGGTGGCCCTGGGGCTGTCAGAGCCAGAGCCCAACTTGCACATGTGTTCCAAGGCCTGACCCACACTTCAGTGAGGGCATCACTGAAGACTTTGCTACGCACAAGAGGAGGTGAAGGTGGACAGGAATGTCCAGAGCCGGCCACCTCCCTCCGCTCTCCTTCCTTCTTCCCATCTCATGCTGTGAAAAGCTGCTGTGTAATTTAATTTGTAAATAATAAAGTTTAAGCAACAAGGAGGTAGAGTTTCATGTCACTTTCTCTGGGTCCCCAAGTTCCCACACACTTCATTCCAAAAATAATTTTATTTACTAGATATTAAATAAAGTATGGAAGGAAAAGGAAGCTGTGTGGTCCGGTCCGTTGGTGGTCCTCTAGCCCAGCTCCTCTCGTGTCTTGCCTACTTTTTTGGGCATTTTCTTAGCGTGAGGATCTTCTAGTTCCTTGGCCTTATAGTAGTGGGGGGCCACCTCCAAAAGCCAGCTGCTTTCAATCTCCAACACCTATGAGAGGGAGCAGAGATCAACAGGGTTCCTTTACTTCCAAACCAGAATCTTAATTGTGTGGTAAAAAAAGGCTTCTTTCCCCTTTGATTGAGGGCAAGGAAAAGGCTGTTCATGCTAACAGGGCAGATGCACTCTGACATGCTCAAGACAGCAGGTGAGTGAGCCCTCAGGGCAGACTTTATCTGTTTCAGGTGTCTCTGTTGCCCCAGCACTTGGTGCACATTTTATTGATCTGGACATGAACCAAGGGTCTCATCTTGCTGCAGAAGATTGTCACTGAGATATCCTCAGCACTCCCGCTATTTTGTCCACATTAAAAAAAAAAATTATGTGTATGGATATTTTTCCTGCACATAAGTTTGTATATTACATGCATACCTGGTGCCCGGAAGGCCAGAACAGAGTGTCAAATCCCCTGGAACTGGAGTTGTAGGCAGTTGTGAGCCACCATGTGGTTGCTGGGAATTGAACCTAGGTCCTCTAGAAGAGCAGTCAGTGCTCTTAACTGCTGAGCCATCTCTCTAGTTCTGTTTATTGTTTTTGATTATGTGTGTGGGTGTTTGAGTATGAGCATGAATGCAGTGCCTGCAGAGGCCAGAGGGGTGATGGATGACCCCTGGAACTGGAGTACAGGCAGTTACCTGAGCCGCTTGCTCTATGGGAGCTGGGAGCTGAACCCGGGTCCTCTGCAAGAACAGAGTGCTCTAAACCGCCGAGCCATCTTCAGCCCCACATTTTTATTCTGGGAAAGGGTCTCACTACCTTATGTAGGCAGACCTTGAATGTATTATCCTTCTGCCTCACATTCAGGACCAGGGACTACAGACCTAGGCCATCAGGCACAGCTTCAAATATTTATTGAATGAAATGAAATGAATTGAATTCTCAGACCTTAGAAGGCCTAACAGTTGCAGGAAAAGATCTTTTGTATTTATTTGTAATGGTGCCAAGGACTGCACCACTGAGCTACATCCCAAGCATACATTAAACTTGATTACACCTGATCCTACATTAAACTAACAGGCCTTCTTGTTTCAATGCCAGTCCCGGAAACAGGAGTTGAACTTAAGATGCCAGCATACTGTCTCCCCTCATCTGAGCAAGCAATAGCCCCTACCTGTCTCATGAACTCCTTTGTGGTCAAGACGAGCTCATGGTAGAGCAACCAGCGTGGCTGCTGTTCAAAGAGAGAGGAGTTGGGGTGAATAAACACTGTCTGCTGCTGCTTCACTGTGCGGTAGCCGCTCCGAGTCAGCCTTGCCGTGTGGTAAAAATAACCCGAAGTGATAGCCTAGGGAGCAGGCAAGGAAATAAGGTCAGGCACCATTTACAGGCCTCCACTTACCACCTCTGAGCTCAGGCTTCTGGAGAAGTTGAAAAGGGAGGAATCTGTGAAGAACCCACCACATGCTATCTAGGGAAGAATGGGCTTCCGTAAACACGCAGGGAAGAGAGCTTTGGCAGGAAGCTGTGTGCCCTCAGAGCGGCATGGTGATACGGCTGAGGAAAGAAGTGTGCGGTTGAACAGTTTCCTCTGAGACTGAAACATTCCACCCTGCAGAGAAGCTCTTTAAACAACTCAAAACAGCTTGAGGGAGTCCCAAACACTGACCAGATTCACTGGGCTCTTTCCTGCCAGAGTGATCAATAAACACTGTGTCTCTCTCAGACACAAAGCTGCAAAGAAGACTCCTGAGATCTGACCAGCTGCATGGAAGAAACAGAAACCAACAGCGCTACCTAAGATGTCAGACCAACTGAGCCACCTGCCGAGCTGCCTGCAGGGTGTGCAGTGTGCTCCAGGTTCCCAGCTTCTGTGAGCGTCACGTCACCCACAGTGGGATGGGCTTTGGTGATGCAGCTGTCTTTGAGTCATTTCTGCTCCTGGTAACCCAGTAATCCCTCACTCATATTCCTATGAGTAACCCAAATAGAACTCACTGGTTCACCAGGTTAGACTCTGGTCTGTTGTGGGCTCCCTCTCTGTGGTAAGAGACGTGTCTGCCCAGGAAAAGTTGTCTTATAATATAGTGACTCCTGCAGGTTGTCCACTGACTTACACATAGACCTACACCATACATGAAAGACAAGAACAACAGGACTCCAGGTGGTGTACACACCTTTAATTCCAGCACTCGGGAGGCAGAGGCAGGCAAATCTCTGAGTTCAAGGTCAGCCTGGTCTACAGAGCAAGTTCCAGGACAGCCAGGCTACACAGAGAAACCCTGTCTTGAAAAAAATGAAGAGACTAGGAAAAAGAAAGACAAACCAAAACATTAACAACAAAACCACTGACCTTGCGCACACGAATGTAGTCTCCTTGGCAGGAAGTCAAGCCAACTTCCACACGCTCCAAGAGCCCCTCCAGTTGCTCTCGCACATCCCGGGCTCGGCGCATGGATCTGAACTGTACAAAGTTTTCATAGCACCACTGAGAAGAGTAGCCACTCTCAGCCCACTGTGAAGACAAAGGCCTTAAGTACACATCAGGACGGAAGTATCCCCCATCTCCCAAATTCCCACTTGCCCAGTGACCTGTGTGTACACATTCAGCAGAACCAGGTGGTCTCCCCCAGGGAGGAAGAAGTTGACACGGGCGTTGTCGGCATGGACGACCTTGTCCTTGGGCCGGTAGAAGATGGAGTTGTTGACGGACAGCATGGCAGCCACTGTCAGGATCTCTTCTGAACAGCTGTACCTGGGGCGGGGTAGCAAGAGGCGAGGGCAGACCAGGGCAGCAAGAACAAACAGGACACACGGAGTCTCTGAGCTCTCTCTCTTCTGATCTCTCTCTTCTCTCTTTTCCTTTTTTTTCCAAGACAGGGTTTCTCTGTGTAGCCCTGGCTGTCCTGGATCTCACTCTGTAGACCAGGCTGGCCTCAAACTCACAGAGATCCGCCTGGCTCTGCCTTCCAAGTGCTGGGTTTAAAGGTGTGCACCACCACCGCCTGGCAAGACTTCTTAAATAACATTTATATATAAATACCACGATGAAGAGAAAAGGAGAGGTGACACTTGGGACTGGGGAGGCATGGCAGTTTGTGCCAGGGGCTGGGTGGGTGAAAGACTTACTTCTCAGAGGCCAAGATCATTTTAGACAGCATGGGATCCACAGGCAACTCTGCCATCTTTCGACCAGACTGAAAGAGAAAGGGAAAGTGAGGCCAGTTTTCCCTCCAGTTCCTTCCACCACTACAGGAGCCCTTGGCGCCACCACCGAGGGGTCCCTGGAGCCGTCGGACTTTTCTTTACCCTATCCCAGCCCACACTGTCTCCTCACCGTGGTGAGCTCTCCAAGGTGGTTGAGGGCTCCAAGTGCATAAAGCTGTTCCAAAGCCAACAGCAGGGTCTCATACGGTGGAGGGTCCAGGAAGTCGAAGTGCATGAGGTCATGGATGCCTGGGGAAAGGAGTGAAGAGTGGAGGAGAGCCCTACAAACACCAGTGCCCCGTGGTGAGGACTGGGGCGGCCCCGTCGGGAGGGCTGGGGCGGCCCATCACCTAAGCTCTTGAGCAGCAGCACAACGTTGCCCAGGCTCGTCCTCTGGATCTCAGGGACCGTGGTCTCCTCCAGCTCGTGCTGATAGGCCCAGGCTGTGTACAGACGGAAGCACTTCCCTGCGGCCACCCGACCTGCGCGGCCAGCCCGCTGATTGGCTGAGGCCTAGAAAGAGGCAAACACATGGCCATGCGGTGTTGACTCAGGTCTGGGGTATGTAAACCACTGGTCCCTGTCCTCAAATGCTCTTTGTGGGTCAAGCTTTTTGTGGGGACCACCTGTCTCCCTCGACCTCCTGGAGATGAGGCTGACCTTGCTGCAGGGTGTGACTGTGAGAGACTCCATGCCGGTGCGAGGATTATAGCTCTTCTGCTTGCAGAACCCTGGGTCCAGCACGTAAATGATGCCGTCAATGGTGAGTGACGTTTCGGCAATGTTTGTAGCCACAACCACCTAACGAAGAGAGCAGAGTCACCGAGTGGCCCAGTCCACCAGATCCCCTGAGAGTTCAGTGCGGTGAGGAACAAGGCAAAGAGAGACAGTGTCCAGAGGTCAGGAGACAGGTGAGGCGGACAGCAGGGCCACAGGGGGCTGGCAGTCAGCAGGGACGTAATAAAGAAATGGAATTTCTTTTTTAGGGTTTCTCTCCAGAGATGGAAGACGGGGATGTCCAGGATCCTGCCCTCATCTTCCAGCACCATCCTGTACCTATCACCACACGTCACTCTGGTAACAGCCTACTCACCCGTCTCCCTACCGCTATACCTCGCTTCTACCACACAGCGTTCAGAATGGTCCTTTAAAATACATAACCCTGCAGTTCACTCCCAGATCCAACCACAGAACCAGTCTAAGCCCCTTACAGCCTGAACTGGTTCTTCACCTATGGCTGCTTCTCTGACCCCCTCCCCCTCCCTC